GGTCGTTCTTTTAATATACATCTACAACTCAGTTGTTAGTTATACCATGCTATTATTGTACATAAGGTATAGTTTGAGAGAGAGCAGTACGTTGAGATTACTATGAACGCCACCTTTAAACTCAAGCAAGAAGATACTTGTGTTAGCTGTTGTAAACTTCATATTATGGCAGTATATATATTGATATTTGTTGTATACTTCAATTGCAATATTCCCCCATCATCTTTATGTTGAATACCAAATTGGCTTTCAACTGTGTTTGGCAGTTTCAAATTAGTTGTGGGTGGTTGAATGATGCGTCTTTTAAACTGCAGCAAGAAGATACTTGCTTCAGCTGTTATGAACTTACATATTATGCCAGTATGTACATTGATATTTGTTGTATCCTTCAATTGCAATTCACAATACCAATTTGGAAGGTTTCTACGATTTGGCCTCAATTGTGAGGGCAGTTGCAAATTTTTAAGTGTGGATTGGTTGAATGCGACTCTAAACAGCTTATCGAAACTTTCAGGGGATCCATTAAAAGCTCGAATTTAACGATGGCGGAAGCCTGCAAGGTGATCCTGCACTGCTTAAAATGTACCTACATTTTCAGATACGGCAGCTTAAAATGTACCCACATTTTCAGATACGGCAACTGGAACATAAACGAGCATGAGAGAAAAAAGTGTGTGGTTCATTGTCTTCAATTTTTTTCATAATTAATGACTCGTCAAGGAGCCCACACTCCTCTTTCTTATAGTGTAGAACTCCTCTTTCTTATATAGTGTAGAAGTGATGTACAATAGAATGCTGTAATTATCATTATTCTTTTTTGTTTGGATAGCAATTGAAAATGTCATTAGGAAGAGAAACAAAGAATCATTTGAGATTTTATTTAGATTGAGGAATATCAATGTAATAAAAATTAATTTTATTCCTAAATCGATACATATTTCAACTGCTTCTTCAGTACTTCGAACACTTTAGGAACAGAAAAATATTTAAGAAGCAAGATACCACATAGTCGTAACGTTATCATTTTAGAAAGTTGCCTTTCTAGCCAAACAAGCAGTCATTGTTGTTTAAAAGTAGCAGAAATAGAATCTATCGTTTTGTCAATAACATTATTCTCTTTACTAACATCCTCTGCTATATGATGTAGGCTAAACCCAGTAACAGCGGTTAAAATATTGGCTAGGTAGAACCTAGGTTACAAACATCAAATTACATATCTTCAGCTCATCCTTCAAGTATATACTTCCAAAACTGCTGATTTAACGCTTGATTCATTTTAACGAGTTCTTCAGTCTCTGACTCTTTCACGATGATGGGAGAACGAGGGAAGATTCTGTAGCCTGGGGGTTAAAGGAGCATTCTGCTTATGTGACGAACATCTAAAGGCTGTTTTCTCTAATGTGGGTTGTACTCTTCAGTAGCTGACGTCTTATTATGTCGATGAGAATGTTTGCTATGATGTCTATGGCGCTTGTGAGATGCCTCATCCCTCTCAGATGGGCTTCTTACCCTATGACTACGATCTTCCCCATCTTCATCTCTCCTGTACCTTGAAGATGCATCATCTCTGCTTGTATGGCTGCTTCCCCATCTCGAAGGCTCTTCTCTCTCCTCAGACATCCTGTGGCCTGAAAATGAATCCTCTCTGCTTATATGGCTACTTCTCCATCTCGAAGGCTCTTCTCTTTCCTCAGACTTCCTGTGGCTTGAAGACGAATCCTCTCTGCTTATATGGCTGCTTCTCCATCTCAAAGGCTCTTCCATCGCCTCGGATTTTCTATGCCTTGAACTTGAATCCTCTCTCCTAGTGTAGCTGCTTCTTGATCTAGAAGACTCTTCCCTCTCCTCAGATTTTCTGTGCCTTGAAAGCGGGTATTCACTGCTCATGTGACTGCTTCTTCGTCTTGAAGGCTCTTCCCTGTCCGCAGATTTTCTATGCCTTGATGATGAACCCTCTCTGCTTAGATTACTGCTTTTCCGTCTTGGGGGTGATGGAATCTGTAACCACAGTTTTGAGTCAAAATTTGCAGAAAATAATCATTTAATGCGTTATTAATTTATCATATGTTGTTTAACAAATTTTAGGTTACTTTTATACATGAAACTTTCTGTTAGTTGGTTGATAAAGAATCTACTGAAAATAGATCACTCAACGGTCACATTTTTCACATTTTTTTTGTTCCCGTTTGATAAGAAACCCTCTAAATCCCTCTTCATCTCCCTCAATCCAAACCCTCCTCATTCATAGTGACTGTGCTCCTCTTCATCACCCAGAGGCTGATCTCGACTATCGCCACCACTGATGGTGCTCCATTGGCGATCATCAGTAAGATGCAATATGATAAGGACTCCTCAATGATAAAACTCTAATTTGGCCAAGAAGAAAAGAAGGAAGAAGGATAAAGATGTCAATTTACATCTCAACTGTCAACTATGTTACATGTTCTAGAGTGTCGTTTTGGTAAATTCAGACTTCAAATATTTAACAAAAAATGTGTGGAACTTTGAGGTATTTATCTGCAATTAAAGCTAAAAATTTTATCTCAGGTCTGGCCCTAGATAAGGTTATGCACCCATAATCTTCGAACAAGAGCTAAAAGAGGACAAAATTATGCATTCAATCGATAGCTAAGAATATACCTGGAAGCGTGACATATATCTTCCCTCAGGAGGAGGTGGAATACCAAGCCTTTTCAAATCGTCATAGGGGATTGGACGCCTGCACCAAAGAAAGACAGAAATCCGACATTTAAGGTAGTTATCCTTGGATAAAAGATACTAAGATAAAGGTTGCTGATAAATTATATAAAAGTGATGATCAATGATAGATAGTATGAACATAATTGAGGCAAATTAATGCTGTCTCAAATAAAAGGAGAGCTGAGAATTAGGTGTATACAAAGGAGCCCGAAATGGTCTCTCTCGACCACCAAACCGAAGCTGACCAGACTCTTTTTTCCCTCCCAGGCCCCCTCCTGTCAAATGATATATATTTCAATAAATGAAAATAATTTACTAAATATAAAAAAAGTTCCTTTCTTCAACTGACCCAACCGTCGTGGAATCCATCCAGGCATTAGTTGCTGCCTGTTATAATCTACAATCACTTCGCTATCATCAATGAGAGAATGGTGTGCATCCTACATACAACAGAAAGGTTGAGAAGCAAGTAAAGCTAATAGTACCAACAATCAAAAGACAAGCTAAAAATTGGCACTTGCAATTTGGGTCTGTCTCAGGGTGGTTCTTCGGTACCCACACTGGGCTGGCCAACTTGTGCATACTAAGCTAACCCAACTAGTTAATGTTTTGAAGTACAAGCAACCCCAGATCATAAATTTGGGTGCCAGTTTTATTGTTATTGTAGAGTTTTGGGGAAAATATTAGGGTTAGTTTCTCTCATTGAGAGACCCCTCTTTTATATTAATGCATTCTTACAACTAGGTCCTTACAACATTGACTAATTCACTTAGTATCTAAATAACTCAACACTCCCCCTCAAGATGGGCGATAGATATCAATCATCCCCATCTTGTTACAAAAGATATCATACTCTCTAGAACCTAATCCTTTTGTTAAACAATCAGCTAACTGCTCTTCTGATTTCACATAGCTCAAAGTCAGAACTCCTCTATTCAGTTGCTCCTTGATAAAGAACCGATCAATCTCCACATGTTTGGTGCGATCATGCTGAACTGGATTGTTTGCAATATTAATCGCCGATTTGCTGTCATACCAAAGTTGTAAGGAGTCTCTTCTAAACAAGCGCAGCTCAGATAATATGTTTTTTACCCACATCAACTCGCACAGACTAACTGCCATAGCTCTGTACTCGGCCTCAGCTGTAGACCTAACCACAACATCTTGCTTCTTGCTACGCCAAGATACGAGATTGCCTCCAACAAATACACAGTAGCCTGTAGTGGATCTACGATCATCCATACAACCCGCCCAATCAGCATCACAATAGCTTTTAATTCTCAGATGTTCAAAACTCCTGAACCATAACCCCTTTCCTGGGCTTCCTTTAATATATCTAAGAATTCTGCGAACTGCCTCCATATGCTGCTCTCTGGGATCATGTATATATCTACTTACCACACTCACTGCATGAGTAATATCAGGTCTCGTATGGCATAGATATATAAGTCGTCCAACCAATCTTTGATATTGCTCTTTACTCACAGGGTCCCCACCCTCGGCACTCATCTTATGATTCTGCTCAATAGGAGTAGGTGCAACTCTGCACCCCAACATCCCTCTGAGAGAAGATCTAGAGCATACTTCCGCTGAGAAAGCACTATACCCTTTCGCGACCTTGCAATTTCAATTCCGAGAAAGTACTTCAACTGCCCCAGATCTTTAACTTCAAATTCCTCTCCCAATTTCTTCTTCAACAGTAGGATTTTCTCAGCGTCATCTCCAGTGATTACAATATCATCAACATAGACCGCCAGGATAGTGATACGAGTTTTGGAGTACCTATAAAACACAGTATGATCACCATTGCACTGCTTGTACCCCATACCACAAACTGCCAACCTGAATCTATCAAACCATGCCCTCGGAGACTGTTTTAACTCATACAAAGACTTCTTCAACTTGCATACCTTCCCAGCTACTTGAGAAGTAGTGAAGTCTGGTGGAATCTCCATATATACCTCCTCTTGAAGATCTCCATGTAAAAAGGCATTCTTGACATCTAGCTGATGTTGTGGCCAATTAAAGTTGGCAGCACATGACACCAACACTCTAACAGTACTCATCTTTGCTACTGGAGCAAATGTCTCGTCATAGTCAATGCCGTATGTTTGGCTGTAGCCTTTAGCAACCAATCTGGCCTTGTATCTGTCGATCTTTCCCTCTGGAGTTTGCTTAACCGTATACACCCACTTACATCCAACAGCACGTTTCCCAGCTGGCAAAGGTACCAACTCCCATGTGTCATTCTTCTTCAAGGCCTAGAGTTCCTCGTGTATGGCATTCAACCATCTAGGATCTTGCTTAGCTACCTGCTAGTTGTTAGGTACAGGCACTGAATGCAACGATGCAATGAATGACTTATATGCAGGTGGAATGGATGCATATGAAATGTAATTCGCAATATCAGTATCCCAATTACCAAACTTAGCTGGAGGTTTTCCAACATTGACTCTAGAGGTTCTGCGGGGCAAGACAGGAGTATCAGAGGTATCAGAGAAGGAATCGTTACCTATCGACTCAGGTGGAGGAGAAGAGCAAGGCACTGGAGAGGAGGGACTTGGGTCATCAACATTTGTGGGTACTGACACAGGCACGGGAGGCGGCTCATGCTGCTGTTTCTGTCTCCTCGTGTATACTCTCAGCTCCCCCTGACTTTGACTACCAACTCCTAAGTCACCACCACTACTCGGCGATGTACCATCACTACTCGGTGACTCAAGAGGACATGGAATCATCCCGACCACAATATCATTCTCATTCTCATTCTCCCCCTCTCTACTAGCATCAGTAGAGCCATCTCCAAACAAGGAACTCAACTCCGTCTTCTCCCCATAAAAAGGTTCAAACTCCCGAAAAGTCACATCCATACTGACAAACAACCTTCTTTCAGTGGGACACCAACACTTATATCCTTTTTGGCTTGATGAGTAGCCAACAAAAATACATTTAACTGCTTGCGGATTACCATCATTCTGTGATCTCTCACATAACATGTGCATCCAAACACTCTTGGTGGAACAACAAAAACATTCGAGCCCAAAAGCATCTCACATGGTGTCTTCATCCCTAATACTCTTGATGGCATCCTGTTGATCAAATAAGCTGCTGTCATAACAGCCTCACTCCATAAAAACTTAGGCACATTCATTGTCAACATCAATGAGCGTGCCACTTCCAGTAGATGCCTGTTCTTACGCTCAGCCACCCCATTCTGAGCAGGGGTGTCTGGGCAGGTGGTTTGATGAACAATTCCCTGATTAGAGATGAAAGCTGCAAACTCCTTATTGACATACTCAGTCCCATTATCTGTTCGAAGAATCTTCACCTGCACTCCAAACTGTGTCTTCACATAAGCCGAGAAATCTTGAAAACATTTGTAAACCTCTGATTTCTGCTTCATCATGTATATCCAGGTCATACGTGAATAACAATCAATGAAAGTAACAAACCATCTAAAACCACTGATAGAGGTAGTAGGACATGGTCCCCAAACATCAGAATGGACAAGTGCGAATGATTCACAACTTCGAAGACCAATCATTCTATAAATAGAACGAGTATGTTTTCCAAGTTCACATGCATTACAAAATAACTCTTTTCTATCCACTTTCTTCATTAACTCAGGTTCTAATCTATTTAAACTCTCAAAAGATAAATGCCCTAACCGGCAATGTTGAAGCATCGCTTCTGCCTCTGGCCCTCCGCTAACAGTAGAAGCAATCATTGTTGTCTCCCTGTCCAAATACCAAAGACCATCACGTCTGATACCAGTCCCAATCCTCCTCCCTGTTTCCTTCTCTTGAAAGACACACAAATCTCGATCAAATAACACGGTACAATTTAATTGATCAATGAGAGAGCTAACTGAGAGTAAGTTAACTGGAAACGAATGAACATGCAATACTGATGACAAGGTAACAGATGAAGTGCAATGGACCGAGCCAGTACCCCTGATGGGTTGGGATGTCCCATCAGCAGTCTGAACTGTCTCAGGATGTAAATGCTTACTCGGATAATATAATGCAAACTCACTAGATGTTCCTGTGACATGCCTAGATGCACCTGAGTCTATGATTCAATCAACATGAGTTTTAGTGGATGCAAGTGCCTGAACCTGTGTACCTTTGTTCGCATGAGCATAACCAATAAAGTTACCAAAGCATGTAGTGGTAGCCAGATCCTGGGTGACTTGTCCCTTGCCCTTCGAACTCTCAGCCTGAAGCTTGAACAGACGTAGTTCCTCCATCTCTGTTATTTCATCTTCAGTCATCCCAGCAGTAGTCTGAGACTCATCTGCCACAGCTAGGTGAGCAACTCCTTGGCCTACACGCCCCCTGCCTCTTCGACCTGCATGGCCACCAGTCTGACCACGTTCACCCCAATTCCTTTCTCTGGGTGACTTAGGGCACATCTGTCTCAGATGCCCTACCTCTCCGCAGTTGAAGCACTGCCTAGTCTCCCCTTTGAATCCAGTGTTATCCGGGCTGGATACCACCAGTGCAGACTTCTCCCCTGTAAGTCCACCTATCCCAGACTGTAGTCTGATACGGCTCTCCTCCTGTATCATGACCGAGACTGCCTTCTCCAGTGGTAGGATCTTCGTCTGGGCTAGTAACAATGCCGTCCTCTGCTCATACGCTGGAGCCAAACCTCAGAGAAACAACATGGTCCTCTTCTGCAAAGAGGCCTCGCGCTCATTGCACTCCGGGTCCTTGCAACTCGCTAGGGGCGAGAAGTGATCGTGATCGAGCCACAAGCGCTCCAGCTCTGTGGCGTACTCCTGTACAGTCCTCTCTCCCTGGACTATAGCGCTGATCTCCTTCTCGATCTGGAATACCCTCAGGTTATTCAACTTCTTGATGATCTCCTCCATCAGATTTTTTTCAGTCTTCGTCATCGATCCAACTTGTATTCTTGTGGTGCGCAACGAAAAAATCCGGTAACACTTCGACAGCACAACAAAAGAGATAGATCAATAATAATTCCTGTTTCACCAAGGAAACAAGAACCAAAAAGCAAGATATCTCAACAAAGTGAGGTATCAGCTCTTCTCTCATCAGTTCTAGGACTGACCTGTCGAGGGAACCTAAATAATAAGCTATTACAATTCGAGAAAAGAAGAAAGAATCATTTAATACAAATGACACATCCCTCCTTTTTTTTCCTTTTTTTCTTTTTTTTCTTAGATCTAATCAGCAACAGTTAGACATCCCTCTCTTTTTTCTTTTTTTCCTTTTCTTTTTTTTCTGGATCTAATCAGCTCATCTCCTCTTCCCCAAGAAAACAACAACAATCCCCAAATCTCAATAAACACAGCACTCCTCTTCAAACTAATATAACTTTTTTTTTAAGAAAATAAAAAAGCCCTAAAAGATACCGAACCTAAAAATCAGATCTTCAGCTCGTCAAATTGAGAGCACGAGCTTGGCCTTCTTCGACACGAGCTTGGCCCCATCGTTCTCCTTGGTCTCCTTCTCAGCGGTCTTCGACACGAGCATGGCCTTCACAACCACGGGCGTCCCCTCTGGTTCGACGCGACCCGTCAGATCCGCTTCAACATCTCGAGCGGCTTCATCAGTATGGCGCGACCCGTCAGATCCGCATCGGGACCAACAAGGACACCGCCTTCATCGCCTACGAGGACATCTACGACCCGTCAATCCTGCTGTCGACGCCAAGACCGACTCAGCAGGCGATCGCGCTCGAGGGAATCACCGCTTCAACCTGATTGTGCTCAACTATCAGCAGGCGATCGCGCTCGAGGGGATCGGGGCTTCGTCGGGTGCCTGAGCAAGTTCGACGCGAAGAAGAAGAAGGAGAATCGGGGCTTCGTCGGGTTGAAGAGGAAGGCGGCTAGGTTAGGTTTGGCTCTGATACCATGTAGAGTTTTGGGGAAAATATTAGGGTTAGTTTCTCTCATTGAGAGACCCCTCTTTTATATTAATGCATTCTTACAACTAGGTCCTTACAACATTGACTAATTCACTTAGTATCTAAATAACTCAACAGTTATTCTAGAGATCACACAGCTATTTCTCAATTGGGTTATTTGCGAATAGACCCCTTATAGTTCCACCCAATTGCGAATAGACCCCTTCTTTTTGTGCGAATAGACCCCTGAGCGAATTTGTTTTACTCTTAAAACATTAAAAAGGTTCTAAGGAGGCAGATAGACCCCCTATAGTTCTATTGCTTTGAATAGACCCCCAATTCTTTTTTTTTACTTTCAGGAGAGTCAAAAAGGTTCACTAAGAGGGTGTATTCAAACTTGGGCCAATACGCGGGGGTTTTATGTGCACAAATAGAAGTACACGGGGTCTAGCAATTGGGTGATACTAAGGGGGTCTATTTGCAATCAACATTTCTCAATATGATTCTAAATGATATTAGAGTTCTTGTCAAGCTCTGACTGACTATATTGAGAGTTTTTTGCAAAATATGGATTGCACACTCAACCGAACTACCTTCAGGTCTCAATCATTTTGCCAATATGATAGCAAACAGAACTTTATGTTTGCATTCGCAAGTGAATTTCATCTGAACTTCTGATTGGATCGATCAACCCTCCCAACTATTTGCTTCTCTAGGTCCATGATGCTCTATCCCTACCCAATATACATGTCCTTGGTCACTCCAAAATATCCTTTATATTCTATGCCTTTTGGTAGCAGCTAACAAGTCAATGCTCTTGCCCTCTATGTAATGCTCTCTCTATAAAGACTATAAATGTTCTCTAGGTTATATCTGAGTAACTAAATCCAAGAATAAACTTTGCATCTTAAGAAATTAAGCTTCAGTCTTGAGAGAAAGGCTACATCTTTCATCCTAAAGTACGGTCCGCAGAGAGAGTAAACATTAACCTAATATGAAAAAAGAAATACAATGACCAGGTATAACAAAGCATCACCTACATATATTGTTCTTAAGTCATGGTGATCACACAAATAAGCATAAGAAGATAATAAAACTCCCAGCTTCCGGCCAAATAAGTTCCCCAAAATGGAAGAAAACGACATAAAAGTACGTTGGCTCCCAGTCAATCTCTCTTGGAATTCATCAAAACTTTAGTTTGTCTCAGTCATTGCTTTCTCAGATTATAACTTCATTCTTCATAGTTCATCTTCTGCTATACTTTCATCACAATACCGTAGTTTGCATGCTAGGTACATGATAATGACCCAATGTTATACTTACAATGAGGCCTTTATTTGTGTTTAGATCTTGTAGTTAAATAACCATTTTACTTTCCCCATGCAAAAGATTTAAAAAACTACTTTCAGTAGCCTTTCAACCCTTATGCTATCATATAGCAATAGATGCCTAACCCAGGTTCAACAACCCATACAATGGGTTAGCAGTTGCTTCGTGCCAGAAGGCAAATGATAAAAAATATAGCAAATGTATAATTTAGACTATACGCTATACACTATATAGAATATGCTAAGCGCATAGAATGGGGTAACAACTTAACATACTTGATACATGGTTCCTGGAACAGGGTAACTTCCATAGAGGTTAGAAAACAGCTTAAATTTTCAATATAAACTCCAAAAGTGTACCTAAATTGTACAAATTGAATATGCAATTTATAATAACTTTGGAAAGTAGTTATAGTAATCACAACAGCATAGATTAAATATCACTGGTAAAAAATCCAAATAATCCCTATCCTCCGATCCTATTCTCAATTTAAATGCTATCAAATTTTAAGTTGAAGTCAAATTTATGGCCCATGAACAATCAACATAATAATAAAAATGGAGTCTTTAGACTCTCTAACCCCATAAGGAACAACCCACATCCAACATGCTTGTCGAAAAATGTATGCTCTCATGGGCAGACCAAAATCTTCATGGCAGCCTTAAGGTCAAACAACACCAAAACTACTGTCTGCAATAGGTTAAAATTGCATAGAGGCTGCATCAGCTAACAGATAGTTTTGCTTTATCCTTGTGTAACATCCTCAAAGTTGTGTCCATCAGTTTTCAAATTACAAAATATTAGAACTGCCAATTTCCACAGTAATGAAATGGATCCTCTTTGTATTCCTCATTTAGCAATTTCTCGAACATCTCTTCAATCTTTCCATACTTTCTCAATTAGATAAACCTTGCATTTGATGTGACATGTGTCCACTATGTATATGGCCATTTTACCTTTTATTTTATACCTGAAATTACGCAGTGCTGTCTATTGCCCAAAACTTGATAGGGACCTCGTACAGGAGCAGAAACCTATCTATAAGAGAGATCCAACTGAGGTATAGGTTCAACAACCTTTTTACCTTAAAGCAGAAACATGAGCTTGATAGGTCATAACCGGTTAGGCACAATTATATCATGAGATGTTTCTTTGATTTATTAAAGATGGGTATCCATGTTGTGGCTTTATATAGTAAGAATATGAATTCTAGATTGAAGGCAGGGAAAGAATTATAATGGTCATCAGATGCCATGAACAATTAGAATGTAACTTAAGAAAGCGTCCACTAGTTTGCTAACTGCAGGAGATGTTTACCCACTACCATCAACAAATCAAAAAAATTTATAAGAATAAATGTTTTTTAACTCCAGTTCTATGGCAGATGTTTCTAAAAAATGTATTTCTCCCAAGTCTTTCTTTGATCTAAATATTGGAAGAAGAGGTTGAGTTTTATTTACTCTAGAAATTTGGTTCTGAAGTTACACAGGGATCCATAGATCCAAAAGTTCATTCAATATTCAATTCATCAAAAAAAAAAAAACTGCTCTAAACCTGGACTTTTCATTTTATAAATCTGCTTAACTCATTAAATAGAAAAATATTCATTTTGTGAGCACTCCTAGCATTATATAGATAAGCAACTTCGATGACACTTTATAATCAATTTTGCAACAGTTTATATAGCGTAGCTCATAACCAATAGTCCGCACAAATCAATGTATACATCGTACGGAATTAGAAGGATTTGCCTTCTTCTGATAAATTCCAACTTTATACTTTACCCTCACAAAAACATGCAGATATTCAAAATTATCGATGAATTAACCCAGAAATCAAGCCTTAAAAGTCGAAATGTAAGGTCAAATTTAGGCATAGAATTAGAACCTCATATGCACAGCGCATTTCTCTTTCAGTTTCATATTCAACAAAAGCATAACCACATGAGGCGCCAGTTACTGCAAAAGCAACCAAAATTACTGAGAGACGTTGACAAATCAACTAATAGAAAAAAAGTTTGAGAAAGTAAAAGGAATCGTGCATAATACATGGTATCTAATAGTGGCATGCTCCAAGGACTTTTCAAAGCACTTAAGCTAACAAGTCTAATTTTATTTTGATTGGACTTGTCAAATTATTTTCTAGCATATCATTGCATTATCAGCAAAAGCAAGGAACACAAAGCAACAAATGAAATACCTAGGTAAAATTGTAGCTAAAAGGAAAGTCAAGATTTCTAGATAAATTCTGCAAAAAATATTTGTATTATCAAAACCTATTGACAACATGCATGAAACATCACAAGTACATCAAACAGAGAGATCCAAATACTCATAAAAAGACATCACAATATTTGGAAAAGTATATAGTATATAACATCGACTCAGTGCAAAAAGAGCATCCAAAACATTGGTACAAAAACATAGACATGAAAGCATTGGCGAGCACCAAATAAAAGGCTGTAGCAGAACATTTCGCACCCATATTTGATTTGTAGCAATTATGATTTTATGGTTGAAACCTTCTTCACTTTTTTTCTCTTTTCTCTTCAGACAAGATCTCTGGCTTGTGCCTAGAATTCTGGATATGCTACCATCACGTAATAATCTGTAACCTACCTATGAGAGAGGAGCATCATATTCCTTGGAACATCAATGCTAATTTTTTTTGGAAAACCCGCCAGGCATGTCTTGTTTTTTAAGAGGTAGAACTTCAACTTTCTCTCTGACCACATAGTAAGATCACAGATCACACGGGTCTCCTGCTCTGGAGTTAGCCCCAGGCCTTGCTGTTCCATGACATTGGAAAATCATCGTCAAAAGCAGGGAACCTTTGATTACTTAATCATGTTCTCCTACTAGCAGAATTGGTTACACAATCATGTTCCGTTTTTTGGGCGGAGCCTGCTCAGGATGAGCTTGTGATCCAAGAGATTTTTGCCTCATACTTCATGAAGTGCCTCAGCAATCAAAAGAGCAAATAATGCCTACAATGATGCATGAATGTGGCGATAGTTATCTTTTGCACTTTGAGGGAGCCAGTCAATCATGGATTTTACCTATAGATGGTAAGTGGTGAATCTTAGTTTACAGTTTAGGGTTTCAATTATTTACCTCTTATGTGATCTTACACCTTGTTGGTCATTTAAATTTTCGTATTGAAGTGCTGGTTTTGCTAATGGTCAATAACATGATTAGGGTACACTGTGCATTAGAATTTATTCATTGTCATCCCTGAGTAACATAACATAAAATACACAACTCTAAAAGCCCAGATCTATAATTATGTCATCAACTATCAGTCGATTTTCAGATTATCGTGTTACCAATATGTCGGACCAACCGCAAGTTCTTCACCCTCCCATACTTGCTCATGGCCTAGGCACCAACAAACAAAATATCAGCATATCCACTTCCTAAACTAGCAACAAAAAGGAGATTTTTGTTCCAGTAACCCACATGTCAAAATCTCACCTTTCGAAGAGATTCTTCATCGGTTAGATGCGAAAGCCTTCCAACGAACAAAGTGCAGTAAGGGTCCCCGATTACCTTGGGATCGCCAAATGGGTCATCTGAGATCATGAGTTAATAACAACTGATTCACTCATGAGCATAATATCAATAGGAGAGGGGGGAAAATATATGAGGAGAGCAAAGTACAGAGCCCGGCGGAAGAACAGAGCACAGCTCTATAAACCGCATTGTCATGAGGAAGTATGTCAGTCCCATCGATGCTCCCGGCTTGAATCGGGTGGTAGGACTCGGCATAAAACACCGAGTTGATGTTGCCCGCATTCATCCTCTCACCGTCTTAACTTCGATTTCCTAACGTTATGCGGTTCTTACAGGGCTGTGCTGCACAAAATTACTCAACTTAGTCGTAGTGACCCTATACAAAATTCAAGTATCCTATTTTTTTTTTTTTTGTCTTAAGAAACTTCAAGACAATCTTAATAGGGGGTTTTATGTAAATGTCCCAATCCTACTACTGCACACCGCCGCCACCTGAGCTTGATGGGTCTCCGGAAGTTGAATTAGGGTGAAGAAGAAAAGGAAAGGAGAGAAACACGAGGGTTATCAAAGTAGCATCCAATCTAAACTAGCACTATTGAGAATTGTGAAGTTGGAATTTTGGGGAAAATTGAGGGCAAAAAAAAAAACCTAGAACTGACGGACCTTGTCGCCGGTCGTTTCTGTTCGCCGACTGTTCCCCGCCGTCATGTGGTCGTCCGCGAGCGGAGGGGGAGGTCCAGCACAACCAACAATGCTGAGGAGCAAAAGAAAAAAAAAATTGAAGGGGAAAAAAGAAAGGAAAGAAAAAGAGAACGGAGGAAGAAGAAGCCCGACGGTGAAGGAAAGAAGATGGATTTTGTAAATGGGTGGCGATTTTTTTTAGAATAAGTAGTTTTTGTGAATAATTTTGTAAATGGGTCGATTTTAAAATTTTGCCTTTAAAAGAACTCTCTCCTTTCTTTATGGTCTGTTTGGATGAAAGGTAGAGAGGGGCAAGGAAAAAGAAATTTTATTTTAATAATATTTAGGAGTTTAATAAGATTTTGTGAATGGGTGGGTTTTGGCGATTATTTTTAGAATAAGTCGTTTTTTTTGTGAATAATTTTGTAAATGGGTCGATTTTAAAATTTTGCCTTTAAAAGAACTCTCCCCTGAAGATTCATAGTTAAAAAAGATTTCACGGGACTTTGTAAACGGGATTTCAAGTCCCGTAAAATTTCAAAGTCTTTTTTGTCAAAACCGACTCAGTTTTAGCCAGATGGTTAAAACTAGGTCATTGTTGACAATTATTTTTAGAATAGATCGTTTTTTGCGAATAATTTTGTAAACGCGTTTGGGAACTAATATTTGGATTTGAAAGGTTGATTTAAAATCATGGGATTTCAAATCTAGAATTTGAAATCCATGATTTGATAAAATCTTTTGTTTGGATGTCATCACTAAATGCAAGGATTTGAAATCACAGATTTAAAATATGATGTTTGGATGCACTTTATTATACATGAATTTGGATTTGAAATTGGTGTTTTAAAAAAATTTATGTTCTCTCTTAACTCCTTAATAATTAAATCAAATGCGGACATTATGGTTTATATTGAGGAAAAAGTTAGGGTAAATTTCACGACCCCCTCAGAAGTTTGATCTCTTTATTAGCAATTATAAATACACATGCAAACATCTTGTCCTTCATGAATCGGTATGAGAGAATACAAAAAATAATAATAATGTCCAAAATATTTATTATTACGCCATTTTTTCATGGCTTCATCCAATACTACATCACCTTCAATCTCCAAAGAACAAGAGTACTACTCCAATAACTAGCCATGATAAAAGACTCGACGAGTCAAAAGAGTTTAGCAAACACTCCTCATAAGAAGCTCTACACTCCACAATAATCCTTCATTTAAAACACAACATACCATAGGTAGTTGATAACCATGATTTGCTATAAGAAGTAACCATGATTTGCTACAACAAGCCAAATTACGACAACATAAACTATTAAAATAAAACATATCTAGAATCCTCTATTTATCCTTCAAGTCTTCTCCTCTTTTCTCTCCAATGCGCCCAACTTCATGTCTCGAAGAATTTGAGTCCTACATTACACAATTTAGCATCAATTAGTCCACGTCACAAAAATCGAACTTTAAAACAAAAAAAAGAAAACAAGTACAAGATTGTATACATTCTGTATTCTGATGGAGGTGCTAGTATATAAAACTTATACAAAAATAAATCCGACAAGTATAAAAAATGAATATAGCAAGTACAAACAAGTAATATCTTGTTATTATTACATCATCTACTTCTAGGCATGACATCAACAAAGCATATCTGCTTGTGATTTCGATTAAGTTTCACATAAACTAATCCCTGCATAAACACTTAAAAATGTGAGTTTATCATCATCAGGGCCCAAAGTTTCAGCCTTCAGTTTCACAACCCATGTCTAAAAGAGTCAGGGAGCAAATCCCAGCCATAGTACTCAAAATTTAGGGATCAATTTTAAAATTAATAAAATCAGTCGAATAAAGATAGCATCACTCACTCCAAAAGTCACAACTATAAGTTTGCATCCTGGCACAATGAAATTTTAAATCACTTGACACCTTATAAAATCTATGCCAATATATGCCAAAATTACTATCAGATTTACATGAATAAATGTAAATATATGATAGAGCTGACCCATCTTTTGCCACTGGAATCAAGGCATCCAGCCACAAAATGAGAACCTACACACGCACCCCAACACAGTTAACGGCGCTTCAACGCACATAGAGTCTAAGTGTAAGGATAAGAGTAAAGATGTAAAATGTTTCTGCAGCAGCAAAAGCATCCACCCAAGAATAACTTCCATCTTTGACAAAAGTCAGAACAACGATAGATATGTTTACAGGTTCATTCATTCCAGCGGAAAAAAGTCTATAACATTCAATCCTTTTATCACTCCATCCCAACAAAAGAAATATGAAACAGCCAAACAAAGCAAACAAATCTTCAAACAATTCCAACCCCCCACCCAACACACACACACACAAACCAACCGCCATCAGGCGTAGTTCAGCCTGAATATGTCATTCAGTACATATTCAGGAGAAAAGTGTTGGTAAACTGAAAGAGGGAACACAAACAGGAGAAAAGTGTTGGTAAACTCATTAGCTGAATGCAGGCACAAAGAACAAATCAAATACAAATGATTAATCACCTAAACGAAACCCTAGATTTGATAAAGTACCATCAATACAGAACAAGAAAACCAACAAGAGAAGTATGGAAACAAAAAGAACTATAATGTCATGCATCATGGTAATTGCTAATTAAAAGGTGATTATTTTCAAGTGGGGGTCATTTGAATGAGTGGATGGAAATGAGTCACCTTATTACCAAGCAAATGACTGTATAAGAGTAATATTGTAATAGAAACAACAAACAGGAACTCATTTTCAACAACGTAGGTGAGACTAGCTGAATGTGTTAAATCAATGCAGATGCCAACAAGAGTAACACTTGTACAAGCTCATTCTTCTCAATAAATATTGCTCACTCAAAATCATACCAGGAGTCATCGTTAAAAATGTGAAATTATATTCCTGCATCCATCAATCCTCAAAAGTGCGAACTATAATCTACACAAAAATTGTGAATCCAATTCTATTCAATGATAAAAAAGGTGGCATAGGCAAGACTCAAGAGCCTTAAGCACAGGTTTTTTCTATACTTGTGGAGTTACAGAGCTGCATGGTTAGGCTAAGTCTAAAACTAATATACACACAAGATATTTCTATACCTCTGGAGTTTTAAATGCTTCAGCATTTTAGAGACCTATTTGAATTAACTTGAAACATTGCCTTCAATGCATACAAAACAAAAATTTCTGTTCCCAAATAAAAAAAGGAATTACTTCTGTATTGTTTTCACTCTGTTCTTAGCCAATATCTTCCTCCTAATAAATGGCTATTAAACTGTCTAGATGGAAATAGAAGCATGATTATAAACTAATCAAAATTGAGTTTAACTGAAATACAACTAAGCCTTTTTCCAGCTCAGTAGGAAGATATCCAACCTCTGGCTAAATATAATGCCATGCATAAATTCTCTACAAACATTAAAAATTGTGAATGTCTCACTATATTAGGAGTCCTTGGAGTATTACTGAACATCTCTCATTGGAGAGGAACCTTTTATTTTTTGGTTCAAACTTGAGCTTGGATTGTATTCAACTATACACAAGTAGATAATCTTTTTTAATTAGAAATTAGATGGTAACATATTCTTCTTATAAATGACAAATAAGTTGACTAGTTGAAACGATAACTTCTTCAGCTCTCCAGATAGAGATGCTTACAAACAAAAATCAAAGCATACAATTACCCAAACCAGGAGATGAAAAAAAAAGAAAAAAAGAACAGGAACAGCATGGTAGTAAATGAGCTCCTAAAATCAACTTATTAGGTATTAAAGGGCCTTCCTTAATGTTCAGTCTATATCCAATAAAGTATTTGATATCCAATTATGGCCATTGAGGTTGAAGTAACAAGCTTACCACTTCTGTGCTTGACTATTCCAGTTTGTTCCCCATTCTTTGTTTAATCTTTCTTTCAGCTCAGGAGGGAAATCATATGTTAGCCAGTAAGGAGCCTGCATCGATACTTATATGAATTCATTTTCCATCAATTTCATTGCATAGGGTAAAAGCAAAAGGCATAGGAACTTACATTCTTTGAATCAGTATATGTAAGGAGCCTGCATCGATACTTATATGAATTCATTTTCCATCAATTTCATTGCATAGGGTAAAAGCAAAAGGCATAGGAACTTACATTCTTTGAATCAGTATATGAACTTTATTTCTTTGAATCAGTATATGAATTCATTTTCCATCAATTTCATTGCATACCTGCAGTATTGGCAACTTCATATTAATTCTCAAATGTATTCTCAAAGGATGTGATCGATGTTGGTGAATATCCTGCAGTATTGGCAACTTCATATTAATTCTCGAATTTCATGTGTATTCTAGGGGTTTGTTTGGCGATTCAACTTAAACGGGCTAGGATTAATCCAGATACCAGTTTAATAACATAGTTTTGTATCCAGATATCAAGGTTTGATACCCAGGATCACATCTCTTTGTCACTGAGCCAGGATCCTAAGCCAACAGAGATGCTATCAAAATCAATACCCATGCTGCAGACTTCTATTTCCCACTTTAACAAGCTCATTTGGTTGTTGGTAACTAAAAGATGGTGCCTCATAGACTGATTAAGAAAAAATACCCATGCTGCAGACATATAACCTCCTCATTCTGCTCGGTTTGGGCTTTAACAAATGACAAACTAAGAATAATAATGGGTAAATTTCACTAAACCGGTATGAACTTTCAGCATTTTGCAATAAAACTCCAATATTTGTCAAAATCACATAAACCTCCCAAGAACAGTAAAAAATCACATAAACATGAATCGCTTACTTCTAGTATGAATCTCCTCCTGCAAGTCGCTGACAGTAGCCTGTAAATCCCAAAAAAAAAAATCAGACGAAACCCAAAACTAACCCTAGATCTAGGAGACCAACTGAAAGAGAGGAAACAAGCTACAAAAGAGAAAATCCAAGTCAGAACTAGGGTTTCGATGGAAGGGGGAGAGAGAGGATTAATGGGGAGACCGAAACCCTAGATCAGATCTAGGGTTTCAACGAGAGAGGAGAAGGGGAGTAGAGATACCTGCGTTGCTGCGTTGAGAGAGAGAGATTCGAGATCGGTCAGAGCTGAGAAACGAGAGAGAGGAGGAGTCGGGATCGGTCGGAGCTGAGAAACGAGAGAGAGGAGGAGTCGGGGATCGTCGGAGCTGAGAAACGAGAGAGGAGTTTGGGAT